CTTTGTCCTGCCAGGTGCTCATGGGGTGAAATGGATCATGTCAGGGCCTGGTGCTGTCCAGCTCTTCATATTTGAGACCCTCTCTTGAATCTCTCTATCTCTATCTATTCATGGACAATGGACTATATACTGTATATATATATATATATATATATGTGTGTGTGTGTTTTTTGCTTGTTTTTTTTTTTCTTATCCCAATCACTAAGTTATATTGGCTTTTCACAAACACAGTTTTGCTTAATGGCATGTAATCACCTTTAAATGAACTGAAACCTGTCCTATCTAGTAGAATGAAAGAGTCCAGTTTCCAGTTTCTCGGTTTGGTTCTGAAATGCTGCTTGTTCTTATCCCTGAAGCCTACCACCTTAGACAAGAAGAGACAGACTGGTTTGACAAACCTAGAGATGGGCGTTCAGACAATGGCCAAGAAAAGAGACAGGTGAAACAGGGAAAACACACACACATGCTGTACTGTACACACAGACATTGTAGTAAAATTCTCACATGTACTAATGCAAAGTCCAAGCAATAATGAAATGCATGCACCCACACAAAGTCACCGGGATATCTATAAGCGGTATGTATACTTACATGTTAATCCAAGGCACTTAAATGTGAAGTGGAATGAAATTTATTGGATATTTCAAACTTTTTTAACAAATAAAAAACTGAATAATTGGGCGTGCAAAATTATTCAGCCCCTTTACTTTCAGTGCAGCAAACTCTCTCCAGAAGTTCAGTGAGGATCTCTGAATGATCCAATGTTGACCTAAATGACTAATGATGATAAATAGAATCCACCTGTGTGTAATCAAGTCTCCGTATAAATGCACCTGCACTGTGATAGTCTCAGAGGTCTGTTTAAAGCGCAGAGAGCATCATGAAGAACAAGGAACACACCAGGCAGGTCCGAGATACTGTTGTGGAGAAGTTTAAAGCCGGATTTGGATACAAAAAGATTTCCCAAGCTTTAAACATCCCAAGGAGCACTGTGCAAGCGATAATATTGAAATGGAAGGAGTATCAGACCACTGCAAATCTACCAAGACCTGGCCGTCCCTCTAAACTTTCAGCTCATACAAGGAGAAGACTGATCAGAGATGCAGCCAAGAGGCCCATGATCACTCTGGATGAACTGCAGAGATCTACAGCTGAGGTGGGAGACTCTGTCCATAGGACAACAATCAGTCGTATACTGCACAAATCTGGCCTTTATGGAAGAGTGGCAAGAAGAAAGCCATTTCTTAAAGATATCCATAAAAAGTGTCGTTTAAAGTTTGCCACAAGCCACCTGGGAGACGCACCAAACATGTGGAAGAAGGTGCTCTGGTCAGATGAAACCAAAATCGAACTTTTTGGCAACAATGCAAAACGTTATGTTTGGCGTAAAAGCAACACAGCTCATCACCCTGAACACACCATCCCCATTGTCAAACATGGTGGTGGCAGCATCATGTTTTGGGCCTGCTTTTCTTCAGCAGGGACAGGGAAGATGGTTAAAATTGATGGGAAGATGGATGGAGCCAAATACAGGACCATTCTGGAAGGAAACCTGATGGAGTCTGCAAAAGACCTGAGACTGGGACGGAGATTTGTCTTCCAACAAGACAATGATCCAAAACATAAAGCAAAATCTACAATGGAATGGTTCACAACTAAACATATCCAGGTGTTAGAATGGCCAAGTCAAAGTCCAGACCTGAATCCAATCGAGAATCTGTGGAAAGAACTGACAACTGCTGTTCACAAACGCTCTCCATCCAACCTCACTGAGCTCGAGCTGTTTTGCAAGGAGGCATGGGCAAAAATTTCAGTCTCTCGATGTGCAAAACTGATAGAGACATACCCCAAGTGACTTACAGCTGTAATCGCAGCAAAAGGTGGCGCTACAACGTATTAACTTAAGGGGGTTGAATAATTTTGCACGCCCAATTTTTCAGTTTTTTTATTTGTTAAAAAAGTTTGACATATCCAATAAATTTCGTTCCACTTCATGATTGTGTCCCACTTGTTGTTGATTCTTCACAAAAAATTACAGTTTTATATCTTTATGTTTGAAGCCTGAAATGTGGCAAAAGGTCGCAAAGTTCAAGGGGGCCGAATACTTTCGCAAGGCACTGTATGATCATGTGCATACAGTACATGTATACTTTGGACATACATGACATGTCACCATTGTGTATGGACTGCAGGGAAAAGGCCCGTACTACCCCTTCCCTCACCTCAGGGTCAAACTGCAGAGGGATGTCAAAGACCGCAGTGTCTCAGGTAAAGTTCCACACTACTGCATTTCATTCAATAACAACATCGACATGATCTGAGAAGGAATGATATGCATTTAAGGAGGTATGTATTGCAACCTTAGGTGTCACTGTCTCTGATGCATGCATTAGATTTTATTGAGTGCTTTGCTTACTGATTGCATCAAATGTGCACTTTTTACAGCAGAGACATGCTTTTCCTTTTATTAAATATGTATGATCATAAAATAGATTAAACTTATTCTGAAAAGACAAAGACTTAAATGTACATATTAATGTAGATCATTCTGTCGTTTTACATCTTCAGAGCATGATGAGTATACTTTTGCAGCCATTTTATTTACACGATATTCATGCCAAATCTCAACAAACTGGCAACTCACTTCCCCTGCCATTACGTTCCAGCACACCATTCCTCCAGGCTCAAAGCAGGCAGACATTTCATTTCCTGGCTTCCCTTTTGATTTGGCTCTTCTCCATGCTCATCAGTCATTGCCATGCTCAAAATGGCGTATCCCTCACAGTCAGGATTATCTTACGCAACTGAACAGCCCACAGAGGAAGCATCATTTGTTTATGTGGCCTGGTGCTGAACTGAGTCATTTTGTCTCAGTCTTTTTGTTCTTGTTGCCATAACAATGATAAAGTGTTTTATACTGTAACATGAATGAGGTTCTGCTTTTGTGTCGGTGAAGGCCTTATATGTGTGACCTGTACAGGAATAGTTAAGGGATTCACATATGATTTGTGGATAGTCAGTGGAGAGGTTGTCCTGTATGCTGTCACAACAGCACTAACAATTTTCTGCATCAGTTTTATACACCATCTCAAGGAAATTACACATTTTTATGCATAATGATTTTATATGGTAAGATTGTTACCAAATAGTCAAATTTTTATCATAACCTTATTTTGTTCAAATATATTTGGCATTTTGGCAATACTCTTGTCTGTTTTGGTGAGTCTATATGTGTGTGTTTAAGGGCAATGTTTAATGCAAGTGTAAGAAATTACAGGCCAAATGCCACTGACTTGGGTTTTGATCCCAAACAGGAAATGGTCTGGGTATCCGTGTGGTTGGAGGAAAAGAGGTCCCTGGCAGTAATGGAGACATTGGAGCTTATGTTGCCAAAGTTCTACCGGGTGGAGCTGCAGAACAAACAGGAAAAATTCTTGAAGGTAAGCTTAAATTTCCCTATTTAAAAACAAAGAACCCACAGGCATGAGAGTGGTATCAATATCCTCATCTAAATCGAGGAAAGAAAGCAAATAAGTGTATTTCCTAAAATATCAAACTATTCGTAGACGTGATTCTGCGATAATAACACATGAATTTTGACTGAGAGCGTGGTGACAAAAATAGACCTTAATTTATATTTAGTATTATCACCTTGTGGGGATGGGCCATGACTCACATTTGGTCCTGAAAAACCTAACAGAACCAAAACAAGCTGATTCAGAGTGTATAAAGCAGGAATTGTGTTTTTAATAACATAACATTCACAGCTAGCCTTAATGATTATGACAGAAAATTGTTATGTTATTTTGTCACAAATATTGTATTATTTGATTGAATTTGCATGGGGAAGTCTGGGAAATTTTATCCCTCCCCACCTCCCTGTTCATCTGTGAACTCATAGATTCCTTTAATCTCTGTGTTGAGTCACACTGAGAGTGTTGGACAATTGGTAATGCTGTAGAGTCTTTTTGAAGCTTCCGTGTAGGCGATCTATGAATGGTGAGATAGGAGAGAGAAGTAGTTCCGTTTGGACGTGTATAACGTGTGTAATCCGTCTGTGCTCTGTGGATGTGTGTGTTTGAGCATGGGCGTTTTTTATTTTTACACTTTCTGTTCTTGTTTTTGTCTTCTTCCATTTACTTTTTTATATCACTCTCTGTTCTCTGTTTCTCTCTCCATTCGTTTATCAGAATATTCTGAAACAGTCCAGTGAAAACTGCATCATGAAAAGATACCATGTTACCAACAAAAGCTAAAATGTGTACATTGACAATGTTAACATGCTCACGGCTTCAGTTTATTTTTACATACTGTTGTATTATACTGTTTCTTATGATGATTTCCTCCTACTCATATACTCTGTGCATCTTAAACAAAACACTGGAATCATTAATACTGTTTCCTGTTTGACTCTGTTGTACTTTACACTATACTACTCTGCTCATCAGCTTGTCCAGGCCTTTCTCTGGTCTCTTAAATGCTATTTGAAGCACAGACGTAAGTCTGTGATATAGGTTGACGCTGATTGCTTCAGTCCAAGAGTCAAGAGTCATCTGTGGTACTTTGTGCTGCAGGAATAACTCAAACATGATAACACTCATAATGCTGTCATCAACACTGAGCAGAATGGTTGCAAAGAACTTTGGTTCTGCCAGCAGAACAAGGCATGTCACTCTCTGTGGAGTGAATATGGAGACATGCTGTCAGATTCAACAGGCATAGAGGCCTAGTGTCCCAGAGGGACAAAAACACACTGTGTGTAGGAATGAGTTTGTTTATATGACTGCTGAATCAAGTTTTACAAACAGCATAGTGTGACCAATTTAATGAATAATACCAGGGTAAAACTACAGTACAGCTTCCCTGTTGCTCCCTCATGCAGTGAGAGATTATCGTCGCAAACAGAAGACCCTCCTGATGAGCTGTTTCAATTTGTGTAAGTCCTGCCAGTGTGCAGGGTGTGTTTTGGGGATGCAGTGGATTTGCTGTGCTGTGTGGATTTGTATTTAATATAAACAAATGGTCAGTTGCCTCCATGAGATATTTGTCATTGTTAGAGTGGATTGAAGAAAACTGTATCTGATTGGATGTTATATTCTTTCCAGCCCATAATGCATCATGTTTCATTATGAAATTATAGTTATATATCTGAAACAATATGAGGCCACTTTGGATTTCATTTTTATCCTGTTTGTGCCTGAGTGCTCCATGAGCAGCTTTGTAACGCAGCTGCTGTTTGGGCTGTCACCAGCATTTACCGCTCCAGTTCTGGCTTGCAGTTTGTCGTTTGAGTGCAAAATTCAAAGCTCGTTTTCTCTCAGAAGGCTTCTCGCTGTGACTGAAAGATCACATTCTAGACCATGAACTGTGATTTATCTTTTAGTATGTATTGGTGCCAAAGCTTTGATTTCTTTTTGGATTGAAATTAAATGTTTGTGCTCTACTGTATACAAAAATATCAAATTAACAGAGTAGTGCATTTGTGACAGTTTACCTGGGTGTGACTGTACAGGAATGCAAGTCCTGGAGTGGAATGGTGTTCTTCTGACAGGAAAAACCTATGAAGAGGTGCAAGGGCTTGTCGGACAGCCATGCCATGAGGCAGAAGTGTGTGTCAGACTGTGAGTATAACCTTTGTCACTTTTTGTTATTTTGTTCTGCATTATGTTTGTAGCATGCCATATTCTTTCTTCTATTATTTTTTTTTCCTCATACATAAAACATTACTTTCAAATTTAACTTTGATCTGTCATCTCCTAATCGAATGCTTTACCATTTGATCACATTTTCCTCCTCTTCATCCCCCAAATGTCCCCCTCTCTTCTTTCCATTTGCCAGTCATAGTCACAACTTCCTAAAGCTCATTTTCTCCTATACATTAAATTCTATGGAACATCCACCTTTAATATAGAACCTAATTTCCCATTTTCAAATAATTTAGTCATTTGAAAGTCATGATTGCTAGTTTTGCTGTTCCTCATTGAGTTTATAGCCAATCACTCCTGTTTTCTTTGTTTTTAGCTCTTCTGTTCTTCAGTTGTTGTTTTTTTTTTTTTTGTATTTATATTCCCATTTTTGTTCTTCTATCTGAGTTTTAACTTTCAGAATGATATAACACATTTTCCTGCCTTTCAGTGATCTCAACATGTTGGCTGAGTCTGAAGATTCCCAGCACCAGGATTTCCAGGTGCACAGCATAAGTAAGTTGCAGTATTTCATTTCAGCCCCAATATGCTTTTACTGCTCCTCCCTTCTTCCCCATGCACTGCCATCTCTGCCTCCTATGTATAGACTTGCTTCTCATATCACTCTCATCTATGATTCTTTCTTTTCTCAAGTTCCTACATGCATTACTTGTTGCCTGTTTCCTCTGTCTGCATTACACAGAACCATTCTGGGAACAGTAGAGTGTTTTAACAGGGCTACCATAATGTTGTCCCTTAATCTTAGATGCTAATTAGAAGTTAATAATTAATCATTAGAATCTAAAACAGTCTTCAGTTTCATTGTATGTGTCTGTGTCACTGTCTTCGTGCAGTGGTTTGATGCTGATGATGACTTCTACCTATGGCTGTATGTGTGAACCTTCTAGGTGACAGACCTCCCAGGTCCCCGGGCGTTGACCCCAAGCAGTTGGTGGCCGAGCTGCAGAAAGTGTCACAGCAGCAGGCTCCCACCTCCACCTCTTTCTCTGGTCTGCCCACCACCACTTCGGCGACCTCTAGCCCAGGTCAGCCAGGATCCCCATCCATCAGTAAGAAACGCCACAGCAGCAAGGCAAGTCCGTCCACAGTGGAGTTGTAAGTCATAACAAGTTTACCATACCAAGGTAGATTTTCTTTACTTTCTTGATTATAAAATCAATAGAAATTGTACCAAAAAATTCAAACAATGTAAAAAAGAAACAGTTTGAACCTTTTTACTGGTTATAACATATCAAAAATAAATACTGAAACAAATGCACCGATGCACCAATACACAGTACAGTGCACAGTGTAAACACAAAGTGTCCACCTAAAGTTGCTACTGTAGCACTATCTAAGCATGTTACTGTAATCTCTTACAGACTGCAGAGGGAACAAAGACTCCATCCCATCCCATCTCTGGAGAGATACAGGTCTGTGAAAAGAAAGGATGAGCTTAATTGAGTATTTTTTTAATACAGTTTTCACTTCTCCTACATTGTTTCTCTTCCCAAATTAACTTGCATCAAATTTACTGTGCTTTCTTTTGCAGCTCCAAATCCATTATGACAAGCAGCTCGGAAACTTGATTGTCCATGTCCTTCAGGCCAGAAACCTTAGCCCAAGGGACAATAACAGCTACTCGGACCCATTTGTTAAAGTGTATCTTCTGCCAGGGAGAGGGTGAGTCAAGGATGCGGAACCTGCGAGCATTCCCCAAATAGTTCAGAATGAGATTTTCCCATTGACATCCAAGCTATGCAGAGTGCTACTTTGTTAAGCTCAAACCTAATTTCCATTCATTTTAAAGTTGATTTACAATCGATTTTGGCTCACCATGACATCTTTCAGTGTGCTGCACATGACCTTTCTTTGGTATCAGCCCGTAGCACCAATATGCACTGCACATCAGAGCCATCATATGTTGATTTATGATGTTCAATGACTTGTTCTTGTTACAGGTCATCTGCCCCTTATCACAGCTAAATGTCATAAACATTATGTAAATAATATGAGCTAGATATGTACTTAGGTTGATGTTGCCTCTGTTGATGGGTGTTTTCCTGTAGGTGTGAGTGCAGTCAAAATCAATAGCCATTTTTACTTGCAATACAATCCACACTACCTCATATGTCCAGTTTCTCATCTAATTGTGATTGCACTTGAATGTAACTGACTCTCCCATGTTCTCTGCTGTATTGCTAGACTCCTTTTTTTCCAGGGATTGTTGCACATAAAAGCAATAATATATGGCTGTGAGCTTTGCAGCCACCACACACACAGACATTCAATTTGACACATGCACAAATGCCAACACCACTGTAGATTATAGACAGGCTTAAGGTTAAGGTTATGGTAAAGGGGCTGTAAGAGTGCCACCTACAAGCCCTGCAGCCACCCTACACAAAGCGGTTATGATAATATGCAATCTCAAGTTCATGTGCACACATACTTGTGTATATGCTACATGTATATACATGGACAATCTCACAAGTATCAGAACACCAACTTCAGTTCATACAGAGACTTTTCAGATGCATCACAGATCTCCTGGCAACCACATGGACATCCTGCAGTCATTTGGGTGGTTGTAAACAATGATTTAATGGACAGAAAAAAGGTAGACACGTTATAATGTGGTGAAAGTAGGGCTCATATACAATCATGGCCAAAAATATTGGCACCCCTGCATTTCTGTCAGATAACGTACCATTTCTCCCAGAAAATTGTTGCAATCACAAATTCTTTGGTATTCTCATCTGTTACAGTCCACACAGAACTCCAAAAATGAACTGGACAGAATTATTGACACCTTTTCAAAATCATCAGAAATAGTTGTATGTCAACCATGTGATGGTCCTGTAATTTGTAATGAAACTCACCTGTAGCAACCAACACTTGCTGGCAATATAGAAATCACACTTGGAACCAGCTAAAATGGAAAAACTTTGACTCAACCTTTGTGTCGTGTGGACCACACTGAGCATGGAGAAAAGAAAGAAGAGCAAATAATTGTCTAAGGATTTGAGAACCACAATAGTGGAAAAGCACAAACAGTCTAAAGGCTCCAAGTCCATCTCCAGAGATCTGGTTGTTCCTGTGTCCAATGTGTACAACACTGTCAAGAAGTTTACAGCCCATGGTGCTGTAGCTCATCTCCCTGGACGTGGACGAAAGAGAAAAATAGATGACAGACTGCAACAAAGGACTGTTTAGATGGTGGATAAAGAACCTCGATCAACTTTGATCTTTCTGGGACAATGTCCTGTGGACAGGTGAGACTAAACTAGAGCTTTTTGGCCAAGCACATCATTCTGCTGTTGTCAGAAAATGAAATGAGGCCTTCAAAGAAAAGTACATGGTCCCTACAGTCAAATACAGTGGAGGTTTACTGGTGTTTTTTCTGGTTGTTTTGCTGCTTCAGGCACTGGATGTCTTGATTGTGTGTATAGCATTATGAAATCTGAAGACTACCAGTGAATTCTGGGGCGCAATGTAAGGCCCAGTGTCAGAAAGTTGGGTTTCTGTCAGAGGTCATGGGTCTTACACCAGGACAATGAACCAAAGCAGACTTCAAAAAGTACCACGAATGGTTTCAGACAATGCACTGGTCAGTTCTGAAGTGCCAGCTATGAGTCTAGATCTAAATCCCATAGAGCACCTGTAGAGGGATCTCAGAACAGCAGCTGGAACAAGGAACCCTTCAAATCTGAAAGACCTGGAGCAGTTGGCAAAGAGTGGTCTAGAATTCCAGTAGAGAGGTGTAAGAAACTCACTGATAGTTACAGGAAGTGATTGATTTCAGTCATGTCTAAAGGGTGTGCTACCAAATATTAAGTTGAGGATGTCAATAATTCTCTTCATTTTTGGAGTTTTGTGTGGAATGGATCAGATTTGTAGGATTTTTTCCTCTCTGCCTTTTTGTGTTGTTCCAATGCAAAGAAATAAACATGAAAATACCAAGGAATTAGTGATTGCAACAGTTTTCTGGGAGAAGTGGTGCGTTATCTGATAGAAATATTTTTGGCCATGTATGTCAATATGTATAAAACTGGACTTGTGCTTCTCTAGGTTGTATGCATGCCAAAACTCTAAAGGAAAAGAGAAAGATTTAACAATGCAGTCACCATTGGATCTCCACTACGGTTGTCAGAAGAGGCATTACATCACCTGAAAGCTCTCTCAACATGCATACATGCAGTTCATGACACAGTAAACACAAATTCAGTCATCCTGCTGCAGCAAGCTCCCTATTCTTGGCCCTTTCTTTCACGGACACTTAATAAATCACACACTAAAGGTCAATGTACAGTAGTCTCCCCTTCACAGCCCACAGACACTCTTTGTCCCCACACCCTCCCTCTGACTATTGTTTCTATATGTTGTTCTCTATATTTAATGCATGCTGGACCCTCTCAGTCAGGTCATGGTTGTCCAGAACGCCAGGTATGTGACTTGCCCACTTTGGCACTTTGGTTCAGTTTTGATTGAAATTTGGTTGTAAGTTTGGTGAAGGTAACAAAACATCCAGATTGTTTTCTAACTGATCAAAAACGTATTAATACATTTCAGTCAGTTCGGTTCCACTAACTCCCCTCACTCAATTTAGTCCCCATATTGTCATGATGTTCCCTTCACCTTTAGGCTTAGTGTCTTTTAAAGATCTCTAAATATTAACATCTTACCATCTCTTTACACAGACCCCTGTGCTGACAGTTAATGTTTTCCCAACTAACTGTTGTGTTTTTGTGGTAGATGGTCTGTTTTTGTTTCTAACCATTGTAATTTGATATCCTAACATTGAACCTGACACCCTTTAGTTTGTCCCTGTTTTGTGATTAAAATCCCTCAGAAATCCCTCCACTATCATACTCCAACATTGTACTGTACTCCTGCTGCCCTGCCACATTCACTACACTGTAGTCCTTATTCATTCCATTATTTTCCAATTTAAAGAAGATTGTGCTGTGTTTACCAGACTAACTCAGACAGACTTACCCATATCCTACAGTCCTAAATGGATCACCACACACTGCAAAAAACATCCATCTTAACAACTCATTCATTGTATTCCAGTGAGTGCTGTGATGTATTGCAGATTATATAGTGTTGTGTTTTATTCAAATAAAGTTCTTTAAGGATTTTTCAAATTAAGTTTTGTTGTTGTTGTTTTTTAATTCATTGATGATTTGCCTGACTGAGTTACATGCACGTAACAAAACAAGAGTTTAATCAGAGTTCAACTCCAACTGGCATACATTTTCACTTGCATTAGGACATCAGATGTTTATGAAACTAAATGACTTGAAGGACATCAACATGTACTTTTTTGCAGCACACTCTGACATTGTATCCTGCCGTCCATGCACGTAGGCCCGTACCTTCTCCACACAATGTGCATTACATTCATCATCTCCCCTCTGCTGTGACATGTGCCCTGCTCCAATATATTGTTCTCACTGCATTGTGGTGGTCCACTAACCATGCAGGACGTTTGCATGTTTCTGACCAGGTATATGTTGTTGTGATGTGTTCCTGCAGTGCTGAAAACAAGAGGAGGTCCAAACATGCAGGCAAGAGTCTCAACCCCGAGTGGAACCAGACTGTCATCTATAAGAACATCCACCTTGAGCAGGTACTATGTGTAGTCACACTCAGATACTGTATACACAGGCTGGCACACATGCAACATCTTACAATTTTTTTAATGCTTTTAAAAGCTTGCACAGTGTCAGCCAACACCATGGACCTTGCAGTGTAAAGTATTACATTTAAAAGGTTCAGCTCTGTAATTTTAAAGAATGCATTTTAATAACTAGTATTTTTGAGGACTTGTTTTTTGTTTTTTAAGCTGCCTGTATATCTCCCTCCACCCCAGATCATATGTTTTTTCTTTTCAGATTTATTCTGCCATTTTTCTGTGCACTCAGCCAACCTAGGAACCTATAAAAACACATGAATGTTTTAACTGTATGTGTGTTCCAGCTGAGGAAGAAGACCCTGGAGGTGAGCGTGTGGGACTATGACAAGTGCTCCTCTAATGATTTCTTAGGAGAGGTAAACCCTTTGACAATTCTAGTATTACTTCATTTGTGTATCAGTAATTTTTAAACACATTTGTTTAACTGTTGTGTTTCTTCCCAGGTCCTTATTGACCTGTCCAACACCTCCCAGCTGGACAACATCCCACGGTGGCTCCCTTTGAAGGAGCAGAGTGAGGGGGACCACCACCGGCAGTCCCACACAAGCCAGGGCCGACATAGTTCCTCTAAACCCTCCTCACAGCACTCCTCCCCTAAAACCACTGGCTCTTCACATGATAAGGATCAAGATTCCCCCAAATCATCTGTCATCAAAAGCCGAAGCCACGGGATTTTTCCAGATCCGGCCAAGGGTAGGACGTGATGAATCCCCCTTGCCTTTTTGACTTTATCAACATTATCCTGTACCAGCCTTCTGTACTCTACTACTTCTCTGCTATTTCTGTTGTCCTCTTTCCTCTGCATGCTCTTTTTTCTCTTCCTGTCACTGCTTCTCTTTTCTGTTTTTTCCTTCTATCTCTGTCCACCTGTTTCTCTTTCTGCAGTCCTTTTCTTCCACCGGCACCCCCCTCTGACCATTTTTGCACCCCCATTGTAGCTTCAGCTTTGTGCTTTTTGCTTTTTCATGGTCTGTTTTCTTCATTGCCATGATGTCACCAAAGCTCAGAGGCTTAGCTTTAATGCCCCTCTATCTTTCTTCTAACACAGAGGGCAACATGGCTGTGGAAGGCTTTTAAAGCTCCCATGATTTAGAAAAAAATACCATCAAATTTAATAAGGATGCTAAATGATTACAGACTTAAATAGGGCAGTTACCATGCTGGCTAGATGTGGTATCTCACTAGCCAGTAACCCCTGGGGTGACCAGGTGGTTCACAGAAAGTAACAGTCTCTAAGTTAACTAAAGTTATAGATAGCCTTTGTGGTAATTTGGTGAATCTGGTTGTTTTAGACATGCAGGTGCCCACTATCGAGAAATCTCACAGTAGTCCTGGTACATCGAAGCCTTCCCCTTCCGAGGGCCAGAGCCAAAGCCACAGCCACGGACACAGCCAACACTCTCGTTCACATGGCGCTTCACGCTCCAGCAAAAGCGCTGCACGGCAACACCATCATGACAGTGGCACTGGAAGCAGCGGAGGCACTGCCATAGCAACGGGCGATGCCCCACAGCAGTCACAGCAGGAGCAGCCGCTGCAGCGCCCCCAACCAAGTAAACCAAGACGCAAATAAAGCCTATGCAGCATGGCCTCCTTGCACTCATCTGTTTAACCTTCAGTTGAAACTTTTTTCAGTTTTTCTTAGCTTTCTACCGTTTGTTTTCTTCACCCTTTACACCCTCAAGTGCTTTTATTGTATTCAGTGTGTCAACCTCTCACCGCTTTTCTTTTGTATATACACATAAGTGTGTAGAGCCAGCACCTCATCTATACTGTAGCACACTGACTTTGACCTTCCTAAGTTTGACACCCTTTCAGTGAACCCAGAGAGGCATAATGGTTGCTTATTAATGGCCCTAACTACTTCAAACTTTTAACCATAACCAATAAAACAGTAAAGAGGCTGTAAATCTTAGCAACTAATACTACGTTAATATGAAGTTAAACCAACACAGTTACATATACCTACGCAAAGTTAGGTTTTGCTTTTTGGAATGGTAATTTATACTATATACATTCTTTACTTAGGATCAGTAAAAGTGTGATGGTATAAAAAAAAGTTAAATCTGAAACAACAGAGTTGCAGGAGTTAATTCTGAAGGAACAGATCAGCAAAATTTGTCAGTCATAGTGCAGTGACATCGCCAGCTTTCTCAAATGACCTGCCGCAGGTTCAGATAATAGAGAGTTCACATAAGAAGTTTCTCCTTCCAAGAGAGGGTTCTCTGCCTGCTAGCAGTTAAATACATTTAGTTTGATCCAACCTTTAAAACAGCAGAAAGTTGCAATCCCACCCGATCCTGTTTCCTAAGGTATCATTAACCTCTTTTGGTATTTTTATTTCCATATTTATATTTTGGAGTTATTATTTAATTCCTTTTCTAAAACAATGACCAGCTTTTCTGAAGCTCCTCATCTGAGATGGCTGTGCATGCAGTCTGCTACACTCCTCCCCACCCCCACCCCCCCTTTTTTTGAACAACTACTGGACCCATAATGCACCTCAGACGCTGCACACCCCGACACTGGGTGACACATGGGACGGGCGAATGTGCACCACACACTGTGGATGCATGTGATTGACAGTCAAGCTGGTTGCAATGATGAAGATATACCGCTCTCTGAATCTCCATCTCGCTCCTCCCTCCTTACATCTTGAACTTCGACCGTTTCCTGGCGTTAATCCCCCTGACACCTGACCTGCGCCTGCGAAAACAAACACATCCAGGCCAAAGAGGCCACATGCAACTGAGGCACCAAAGACACAGCGTTGTGGGCGTGCTCACCATTCAGAGAGCCCAGTCTGATTGGTTGCCTGCCCTGCCATCGGTTGTGTCGGCCAAAGGGAGCACAGGAGATGGGAGGTGTCTTACCCTCAGGAAAGCTGTGTCAGAAGAGAGGCCGCAGAGCACCGGAGGTGAGAGTTTGCCCAAGAGTCTCCTCTCTGTCGTGTGACTGAAGCACAGATGGAGCAAGCAAAGAGAGTGAGAGAAAGAGAGGATGCGATACTACTAACGCACACCTGCAGAAAGAGAGAGGGGAGTCTTACAAGCTAATAAAAGAGACAGGAAGACAGGGAGAAAGTTGCACTCACCAGAGATTCATGCAGTGGGACACACTTCCTTAATGGCCACCAGCACAGTTCACTAATACCAGGAAATGAATGTCTCAAACTGTGACTTATTCAGAGTTAACACTGTGCCACTGCCACATCTGCTGCGTCATGACTCCCCCATTGCTTCATTGAACTGGTATTAATGAGCTTAATGATCTTATGCTTAGTGGCCTGAAAGAAAAACGTGTCTGCATGGATCTGTTCTACACCACATCCACGCATCTCATTCATACTTTATCTACCTGTTTGATCAGCTTTTTGGGAACAAAGTACTGAAAATTAAAACATTTAAACGTGTCCTAAATAGTTACATTTAAAAATTGCATATACTGTAAGTGCTTTTTTTCAAAATATTTATAAAAATACATTCATAAACATCCTTTAAACTCGACTGGATATGAAACTATATTCATGTGATTTAACTTTTTAAACTAAATGAATACTGAGATTGAGAAATTTGAATATTATTAATAGTTCATATAGATGACTAACCCTGTCAGTAGGGTCTACGTGCCTCTTGTGTGATCTTCATAAACATATATATGTGATGATTCTCTGGATTGTCTATTTCATGTAAAAACTGTGTATGTGGTTTATTACTGTCTTGTTTTTGTCTGAGAGAAAGATTCTAATTGCACTGTTTGTCCATATGCTTCTTGCTATTCCTCTGTATTTATGTGCTATTCATTACAATCCAGTTTTGTGTGCTTCTAATAGGACTCCCTTTTCACTGTGACATACATGAAATATAAAGTTGACTGTATTGGATTGTAGCTTTTGCAGTAATTAACCCATGGTTTTTGGCCCCAGTTCTTACATTCTTGGACCCAACAGAGGTGCAGTTTTTCCTCTTGTCTCTTTATCGTGATGTGTGTGGTATCTCTGCACAGCTCGGTCAAGCCACAGATCCAGCGATGCCCCGGTCCCCGGTCACGGCAGCTTCATTGGACAGCGGCCTGAGTGGCAGCATCCACAGCCTGGTGGACGAAGAAGTGGAGACAAATGAGGTGGACAGTGCCATCTTCCAGGTGCCCCGATTGTGAGTCAGCTTATCCGGTTTATTCATTTTATAACAACTGTTTCCAGTTTTGAATGTGTTTTAAATATTTATTTGATGTTTAACAGTTACTCTCACTACTCCATGATACACCTGCTTTCATTCAAAATAATGGGTCTTCAAATATCTGTTGTGTAATTTTGTCATTTATAGGCCTTTGTTTTCTCTCTTTTTAGTGGAAAGATCCAAAATGGCACAGATGTGAAATCATCACTGGGACACAGTGACGCTGAAGGTAAGACTTACATCTGTGTGTGTGTGTGTGTGTGTGTGTGTGTGTGTGTGTGTGTGCGCTTGTACATTCATAACGTGTCAATACATGTCATTAACATAAACTAATAAACACATTTTTGGTATTTCAAGGCAAAAACAAAGTTCGGTCTTAGCATATATGTTTCTAAAGCATCATACCACTGAATATTGACAAAATAAATTCAACTTTTACCATGATCCTGTATTTTCATTCATGTGTTCAGCCTCAAGGAATGGTAGATGTCAGTGAGATTACTGACTAATTAATCATTTGCCTGCTATTTTAATCCCATTTTTATCTTTAGAAACTATGCTGTACATGTATAAAGTCTTTTCTATACATCATTAACTTCATACATAGACTTCACCTACAGTATTCATACTGTTATCAGACTATACTGATTTTCCTTCTTCCTTCTTCCTGCCTGTGAATTGTGAGTCATGAAATCATGACTAATGCAAAGGTGCAAAAACCTGAGGTTTGTTATTTCACTCTCACCTTTATAACAAAGTGTGAAACTGAAGCTTAGCACACACACGAATGAACACATTAACACAGTTATACTTATCCATGCTCTTTCTTTATCCCTTTCTCTTTTTATCATCTGCTCTCAGTCTTTTTGTGTCAGAGTGTCTTTCTCCTGGTAACATACACACACAGATGCTACCCTGCCAGGATCTTGTTGACCCAGCTTTCAGTTCATTTCATTCAGTTGTCAAGGCAACCTGAGGCCAGGCAGAGCTCCTCATAACTCTCCATTCTTGTTAAACAAATAAATGTGATTGCTTGCAAGCCATGTTAACTCGTCACGTGAGCACACCCAGCATCCAGTAGAGGGCAGTCACTTTTCAAAGAGAGCAAGAATACTGATAGAATGGGCATTTGATTTTTGTAGCAGCAAAACAACCAGTGAATATTTCATTCAGTCTATGTGTGTTTATTCAGGCAAGTCCCAGGTAATGGGGGAGATAAAGATTGCTCTGAAGAAGGAGGCGAAGACAGAGGGTGAGCACCTGGTCCTTGAGATTCTTCAGTGTCGCAACATCACCTACAAGTTCAAGACTCCAGACCACCTGCCTGGTAATGGATTTAAAGTTTTAGAAACATTTATTAAAAAAAAAAACAATAGTTTGCTGTCTATCAAAAGTTTTCAGTCTTTTCATACAATGGTAGTATTACATGATACATGTCTTTTTTAATATCTGACAGCTGGGGAGCCCACACAAACACTTGTTTAGAAAGACAGCATCTGACACGCCACAACATCCTTGCCAGCTTTTCTAGCTGCAGAGCCACACGTACTGTGGTTGTGTCTTTTGCCAACATTCTCTTGGAAAGCAGCATTCAGTGTGTATTTACCTACTCTTCAATAATATATTCTACAGTTGAACTTCTGACATTTAATCCTATAAACATTTCTGTCTTAGGTCAGTTAGGATCATTATTTTAAGAATGTGAAATGTCAGAATAACAGTAGAGAAAAAAGATTTACTTCAGCTTTTATTTCTTTCATCACATTCCCAGCAGGTCAGAATTTTACATTCATTTGGTAAGTATTTGGTAGTATTGCCTTTAAATTGTTTAACTTGGGTCAAACATTTTGGGATGCCTTCCACAAGCTGCTTGCAATAAGTTGCTGGAATTTTAGCTAATTCCTCCTGACAGAACTGGTGGAACTGGATTAGATTTATAGGCCTCCTCGCTTGCACACACTTTTTCAGTTCTACCCACAAATATTCTATTGGATTGAGGTCAGGGCTTTGTGATGGCCACTCCAGTACCTTGACTCATTTGTGACCAAGCTTTAACTTACTGGCTGATGTCTTGAGATGTTGCTTCAATATATCCACATAATCTTCCTTCCTCATGATGCCATCTATTTTGTGATGTGCGCCAGTCCCTCCTGCAGCAAAGCACCCCCACAACATGATGCTGCCACCCCCCTGCTTCACGGTTCAGAAGGTGTTCTTCAGGTTGCAAGCCTTCCCCTTTTTCCTTTTTCCTCACCGAAAAGTAAGATCTTTGTCCCCATGTACAGCTGCAAACTGTAGTCTGCCTTTTTTTACGGCGGTCCTGCAGCAGTGGCTTCTTCCTTGCTGAGCAACCTTTAAGGTTATGTCAATATAGGACTCATTTTACTGTGAATATAGATAGTTTGGTACCTGTTTCCTCCAGTGTCTTCACAAGGCCCTTCACTGTTGTTCTGGGATTGATTTGTACTTTTAGGACTAAAGTATGTTCATCTTTAGTAGACAGAATGTGTCTCCTTCCTGAGTAGTATGATGACTGTGTTGTCCCATGCTGTATATACTTGCATAGTATTGTTTGTACAGATGAACATGGTACCTGCAGGCGTTTGGAAATTGCTCCCAAGTATGAACCAGACTTGTGGAGGTCCACATTTTTTTTTTTGAGGTCTTGGTTGTTTCTTTAAATTTTCCCATGATGTCAATCAAAGAGGTACTGAGTTTGAAGGTAGTACTTAAAATACATCCACAGGTACACCTCCTATTGACTCAGATGGTGTCAATTAGCCAATCAGAAGCTTCTAAAAACATGGCATCATTTTCTGTAATTATTCAAGCTGTTTAAAGGCACAGTCAGCTGAATGTATGTATACTTCTGATGCACTAGAAATGTGATACAGTGAATTATAAGTGAAATAATCTATCTGTAAACAACTGGAAAAGTTACCTGTGTCATGTATGAAGTACACTTCTTAACCAACTTGCCACAACAAGAGTTTGTTAACATTACATCTGTGGAGTGGTTAAAAAAATCAGTTTTAATGACTTCAACCTAAGTGTGTATAAACCTCTGACTTTTAACTGTATATATACAAGGTTATACAAGCCTACCTAGCCTCTTTGATATACAGTCACAAGATCATGATCGTGTTTTATCAGCATATTGTTGATAATTGTGGCTTTAGTAAAGATCAGATCACGTTTCAGTATAGAAAAAAAGCAGTGAAAGTAAGGCTTTGGGGTTATCATATCAGTTTCACATTTATATGTGTGTATTTGTCTGTGTGTGTGTCTACAGATCTTTATGTGAAGCTTTATGTGGTGAATATTGCCACCCAGAAAAGGATTATCAAAAAGAAGACCAGAGTGTGTCGTCATGACAGGGAACCATCTTTCAATGAAATCTTTCGCTTCTGTATGAACCCTACTGGACACTCTCTACAGGTAATCCCATGGATGATAGCTGCATATTTTAAGAATATAGACAATCTGTAATCATTTATACGCACACAACTAAATGGTGCAACTCTCATTTTTAAATGGTTTATATGGTGCATATGAAGCTGGAGCTGGAATATGGTAATTTCAGCTTAGTATAAAGACAGGAGACAGGGGGAGTCAGCTAGCCTGGCTCACTACAAAGGTAAACAAAATTGTAAAGTTCACAAATGTACATATTATATCTACTTTTGTTTAAGTCACAATAAACCTGAAGTGTAAACCTGAATCTGATCCAGGCTAGCTGTTTCTACCTTTTATGCTAAGCTAAGCTAATTTTATGATGTTAGCTTCATATTTAGTGCACAGTTATGAGAGTGAAATTAATCACCACATCTAACTCTTGGCAAGAAAAGAGTATATTTCACTACAAGTAACCTGGTTGTCATATGATATATGTTGTTTTTTGGTTTGCTTCAGCTATTTCTGGTGTCCACTGGTGGCAAGTTTGTGAAGAAGACCCTCATCGGGGAGGCCTATGTGTGGCTGGACAAAATCGACCTTCGTAAACGAGTAGTGAGCTGGCACAAGCTGCTCGCCAGCACTGCCCAGATCCAGTCATAGAACAAGATTATATTAAAAAATTACTAAACAAGCATGGAGGGGTTTCCAACATCTGGGGACAAATTACCAAATATGCATGGAGAGGTTTCCACCATCTGGGGACTCTTTAAGTTCAACATCTGTAACACTGCTCCACTTGTGCTAGGACGGGAAATATTATCGCGTTTTGCTGTCTTTGTTTCAGGGCTCGGATAGCTTGAGTTTTGGAAAGTAAAAAGAAGTGTTCTGATGATGATTTCTGTCATGCAGGAAGATTAGAGGAAGTAGTTATGTGTTTACAGGAAGTGAACACATGTTTACAGGACATATGATGTACAGCAGTGTAGCCAGGGTGAGGAGAACACTGGTGCTGAGTTCAAGTGCGGAATCAACCAGGTATTACAAACTTTATTTTGCAAACACATACATAAACACTATTATTTACTGTGCAACTTTGTATTCTTAATTTTACTTTGAACAGATACAGGGAATGAACACACTTGTAGATTCTAATTTTATCTACTTAGATGTTTTATCCATGAAAGGTTTTCCTTATTGCTTTATTATGATCTGCAGAGTTTTATTGATTTACAAAGCAGTTTGGCAATAGAATATTCCACTATGGAGACCTGTCATTTATTTTTGTATTATGATATTAGTGTAGAATTCTATTATTTGTCTTCTCTTCAATTATTTAAGTACTTAAAAATCTATCCGGGGATGGAAGTATAGTATATTTTATAACACACTACCTAGCATTCCAGTTTAAGAGGGAAAAAAGTCTCAGCAAGCATGTTTTTGACTCTAGAAATAAAACCAACTACATGTTCCTCCATCTTTTTTCTCCTTAACTGTAACCTAAGTTCTATCAAATGATCTTTATTGTTTGGCAAATTATAAACATTAATATATATCTATTTGGACACTATATATTGTGCACATGATTCTATTTATTTGGTATGTAGTGCCACATGTTCTGCACAGAAAAAAATCACCAAGGTTCACTTTGTATATAATGAATTGTCATAGCTGGAAATGAATTATAACATATAGAGATAGATGTATAGATATCTTTATCAGAGACAATCGAGTCTTGTTGATTGTGATGTAGAGGTTCTATTTACCCATGACACCCCTTAGAATTTGAGACATTTACCATTTGAGATTTAAGCATTTCTTAATTTTTTTGTGAGATCCAAGCACATTACAAGTCCTATATCAGTCCTGCTTTTGTTGGTGAGGGCAGTCAACAATGCACGCTTTTGTGGTATATTGCATAGAATGTACAACTGGCATCATCAGCCTGCTAAAGATGAAATAGGTGAAGTACGGTGGTAAAGAAATGGGCCGGAAACTATCCAATGAAAAGCACTATTACCAACCTACTGTAAGATACAACAATGCTACTACAGTAGCATGTTGGTGTTTTGTCCCAGCTTTTTAGTCATATCTGTGTCATCTTGATATTACCATTTACACTTCAAATCATCAGTGTTGTGTCCTAAAAATTCTACCATGCCCATACTGTCCTCAGAAAGGTCATCCTGTGTGCTTGTATGGGGTCAAGAGGCAGGACACCAGTTCATTTAACATTTTGAGTTGAACTTAGCAGTGAAACTACACTTAATGTCTCAGTGATTTCTATGCAACATGTACTGTATGAAGATAGTGACTGCATCTTGGCTTGCCAGAAATGTGACTGTCTGTCAAAAAGTGAACATTTGTATAGTTTTTTTTTTTTTTTGCACTGCTGTGTTTTCATGTCCTCCATGAAATGGTTACTGCTTTAATATGATTTTTTTAATGCATTATTTTGTATTGCTATATGGATCTTCATTTAATGCCTGTGAGACTCTTTCATATGTTGTATTATATTTGTTTACAGTGCATATCAAGTGTACAGAAAAAAGATGAGAAATTTTGTTTTTATACACAATGTAGTGCTTGTTTACAATATTTAGAGGACCTGAAACTCAGAGAACTAACTTTTTGCCCTTGTAAACAAACACACACTCATGTGGAAATTAACACAAAGATTCCCAGTTTCATGTAGAATCAAGATAAGAAAAAAAGGCCATTCCTATTCAAATGATTCCCACCTTTTTATGCATTTCCCTTTGAATAGTTTCATTTTCCACTATCTGTATGAGAAATTACCAAAAAGACAACATCATAATCATTGGATGCTATACCTGAAATGGTAGCAATCAGTTTGTGTGGTTTTTTTTATATCATATGCTTGTGTCTATAGCATCTTCTTATTAATCCCATGCATGTCATTGGCTCCAAAGCATATCTATTCCTTTAAATGTTGTCTGTCTAAAAATAAAATCTCTCATAACACAAAGAATTACACCTGCTCACACACTTGCACCATCTCTCTCTATTTCCAACATTGTAAATACATATCTTTTTTATACTGGGGTTTGGGGAGCAATAGGTCTTTTAGCAGACAAAAAAGGTATGTGATTGTCAAAGTAACGAGAAGCCGTTTTTCTCTTGATCAATGTACAGTACAGTGGATAGACTGAGAAACAACCTTATGTCTGTCTATAGGGACCAAGATTTACCCAGCCCTTCACATCAAGCACTAAAAATTTACTAGAGTCTGACTACATAGAAATCTATCTTAACAACTCAAGTAGTTGCAGGACAATTTAAATGTGATCATACTGGATGTTGCATGTTTTGTTGGTGGTTCATACTATTTTTGTGTCCAGATATTATAAAAGGGGAAAAAAAGAATGAGGTAGAGAAAGATATAAAATAAAATATAGCAGGGGAAATTATGAAGAAACCTAAATTATTGATGATGTGTGCTGACTGTACAAAGATTTATGCTTGAAAAACCTGTCTGATTTTTCATTTGTAAGTAACACAAAAAACCTACTGTCATGGTTTTGTGATTGTACACAGGAGGTATTGATAAATTATGCAAATTGTGCTGTAAAAATGGCTGTTGCCCCATATCTAAATATTAAATATCTGTACAAATGAAGTGCTGGTGTGTATTGCCTTTAAAAAAAGATACTGCATTATTGATCATAAAAGTTTTATTTTGAAAATTAGATGTTTTTTTTACTCCCTAAAAGGTTTCACCATGAATGTTGGATGATGCCATACCAATCATGTGAAGTATCAGATATAGCCACAAGATGGCACTATGTGATTTCATTCTGAGAAGTGCCCATATAGTTAAAAATCCATGGACCTGTTTATAGACAGGTGAGGTATACTGACACTGGTGTTATAACTCACTGGTTGGTTAGACCTGTTGTTGTGAAGGGTGTGATGCATTTGATTGACAGCTCCCCTCTCCAATAGCATTGCTCCATTCAATTTTGAAATTAGAAGTGATGTAATTAGTACCTGGTGTGAGCACCGATATGGTGTGATCCCATTTGTTAACTTTTTGTTTTTGCTCTGCGCATGCGCAGACTTTGACCGCTGCGCACACTTTAATTAATTCTCATTGGAAATTGTGTTTATGGCAGATATTAGCTCAGCAGTGATGTCAGACCGCCTGTATTATGTTTAATATTTACTTAGATTACCCTTATTTTACCCAGAGCTACACACGTGAAGCAATTGCAAAATTTATAATCACACATTAGTCTATCACGTTTTTGATGGAGGTGGGACTTTACCTCATACTATGTGATGTAAAGTTATTTAATACCTCACAATATTATTCCAAAATCTTAATCAGAGACTCTTGCTTGTAGTGAAAGCACCCTGTGTTAGTTAGACATTACATTACCTGCAAGTAGAAACCTTCTGCATTAAACCCTATACGAATGTGAATTACAATGTATTTGTTTATGACGTAGTTATATGAGCAATATACGATGACATTAAGCTGTCCTACAGTAGCCTACACGCCCATGTCATGCAGCGCCATCTAGTGGCTGTCTGTTGTCGAAGCAGCTTCATTAGTAGCCCTAATGAACCGCCTGATCTGTTTTCTGTTATTGAGTTCCTCATCACATCACCAAAATGAGCTCAGCACTGCTCATCTTCACCTTCATGAGGAGCAGGAGGTCACACAGGCAGCAGATCCGCACAGGAACAACTGTCTGGGTGGGGATTCTTTTTGGAAGGTAACTTGGAAATAATACGTGCGTTATTAAATACATAACTTCTCACAGAGACATCACCTAGAGGCTGCATAGGTCTACAGTGCAAGGTAAAACTCCCAACCCCCGTCAAAAAAGTGCTGGGCCCAAACAGCAGGTGAAACAGTGAAGCTCCAATTAGTCTACTTATCACTAATAATAAGATCATCTGTGCAAGTATTACACATAATACACTGAACTGACGTTTAATTTGCCATAAACATAAATTCCCCTGAGAATTCATTTAAATATCTGATGATGATTTGCAGTAAAATGCTTTAAATTTACATCTGACACAAATGATATCAGCAACACTAATATTCTTAATCTGCACATTAAAAAACATTCTGCTGCTGTTCTTTTTTTTCTGAGCTACACTGATATGGATTTAAAAACTGATATCCTGTATTGATCCAAGATCAAATTATTTCGCATTTTGTTCAGGTACTTCTTGAAAGCTCAGTGTTAAATGGGTGGTTAGACTTAAAGGTTAGATGCTTGTCTCACACCCCAAAAGCTCATAGGAAATTTGTTAAACTCACTCCACACAAATTGTACAGTCTGTATGCATGCACGTTTTGACATTTGGGTTTAAATTTGAATGCCAGCATTTGTATATAATTCAGCCTGCAGGTGGAGACAGTAGCCTATTGTGCCGAGGCTCCCAGTTGTGCCTTTCTATTGCTGTTTTTTTTTTTTTTTTACCTCTACCCTGTTGTGTATTACCTTCTGTCAAATAAGTGGTGTCAGCGTTCACAGTGAAAATGTTCAGTGTGCATTGGATGCTTGGCTGCATTCTCCTTTGTTAAATCATGTTTATTTTCAGAAACAGATACACAAGAAACAAGTTTGGATGGATTACGTGTATCAGCTCCTGCTAGGTGGTGACTCAGCTAACAACCACCTGGCTCTACCGATATAGTGGTGCTGAGTACTGTAAACAGGCTGGGTGACTCCTCATGTGCATCTTGCCGAAAATACTCAGTACCTTATTAAAGAATGACAGGCTTTCCCTGCCAGATCCTGCTCTGTTGTCTACACTGTAGCCCTGCTGCTTCCCTCTCTTGTTTTATGTCCCATGTCTTTCATATTTACCCTCTCCATCCCTCTTTTCACCAACTCCCCCTATTAACTCCCTGTCTTTCTAATAGATCCCTCACATCCTTCTCTTCTAAAGATGTCTTTGTTCCCTTCTTTCACCTTCAAAGATGCGGCCTGCATCAGATGGGCCTGGAAATGAGCCCGTTGTCGCCCCGTGTCTGTGATTCACCGAAAAGCAAGGCTGATCAAAACGACAGAGATCTAGCAAGGCCACATTAGGTGACATCACTGGTTTCATCACCTTATCAGAGGTCAGTCAAGTGGTTTTTGTCACAGTTATTGTCTCTGCCCTGTTTATTTTGGCCAATTTGTCAAAATTTGCAACACCATGATGTTCAACTTTCCCTCCATTCGCAGACACCTGATTTTCCCTGCCCACTCACATACTGTACCTATTGTACAGAGAATGTCCTGATACTGTAAGGGGTTTTCAACCTCTGCTTTTTTAATGATCAAACTTCTAGTACCTTTGTACCAGTTAGGGGGCCAATATAAATCCAGTTTCTCCTTGCAAAAAGGGATTAAAGCCAATATGTTGATACTGAAAGGGGCTTTCTGCTTGATATTACCTTTGTTTCACTCTTTTGGGTTATTTGGTAAAGATTACCAACCAACTAGTACCTTTGTACCAGTTTAAGTATCTCTTAAGGCCCAGTATAACCAGTAAAACATAGTATTCTCCATGCCAAAAAGTGCTTCACAGAGCCAATAACATAGCAGTGGCTGTTCCATTACTTTTAAATTGCTAATACTAATTCAAAGCAGACAGAGGCTGTTCTTGGATATTGTTTCTCATCTCCAGCAATAGTGCTGCAAGAATCAAACTATCTGACATCCTAACACAGTTACAGAGAGACCTGTTAGATACTGAACATCTGGAAAAGTCCAGGGATGTGTTGTCACTAACCAGTGTCTAATGTCAGTATCTTGATATTAGTTTAAACCAGAGTCTGGGAATATAGCCTGGCAAATGTCAAAAGATAAAGCTATAGATCATGAAGCTTGGGAAGTGTGGTTAATCATGACACAGAAAGACATTTATCAGAGCCATCTGTTACATATGTGTCCATTTACTACTCTACATTCTATTAAACCAAGAACCATATTTTGTCTTGTCACAATTCACTTCATTGAGAAATAAAGTACAGAAGCAAAATTGCTATTTTGTTGGAAGAAAATAAGGTCTGGAGGTAAAAAAGAAGAAGAAAATGACCAGGATAGCTAAGACCCTTTATGTTCAATCACCTCAGTTATCCCCTCAAGCCAGTTTCCTGTCACTGAATGCCTGCTCCACCCTGAGGCAATCCATCACCAAGATGTAACATCTCCTGGCAGAATAGCTTTTACTAATAGTAATGCAATCAGTCTGTGTACAGAGGGGACTGAGGCTGCCTGTCTCCCAAGTCAGACATCATATCACACACATTTGCCATCGCATCTCTGTCACCGAGCCAACAAGGAGCAGTCATGCTGACCATCAAGGAGGAGCAAGCAAGCAAGCAAAGTTTATTTATATAGCACCTTTCTAAACCTGCGTGACAAGGTGCTTTCCAGTAAAACATAAACAAATAATAATAATAATAAAGATACCTAAGACCAGATAAAACACATCTATACAGTAAAATAACAAGACAAATACATCAATCAATAAAATTGTCGAAGGCCCGTGAATACAAATGCGTTTTAAGAAGTGATTTAAAAACAGATAGGTTCGGAGCAGATCTACTCTCCCGTGGCAGACCATTCCACAGTATAGGAGCCCGAACTGAAAAAGCT